CCCCAAAACCCCAAAACCCCAAAACCCCAAAACCCCAAATATTTTATGTAAAATAGAATATTATTAAATAAATGGATTCAGGTCATACCTCACTTGTAGCGCAGCCACCACTGCCTCTGCCTAAATCTGAACAATCTCAGTTTGGTCAGACTAGCAGTAGCAGTAATTCGGCCTCTGGAGGGGTCCAGAAGGTCAGTATGTTGATTAACCCGAGGTCATGGCTTGTGCTCAACTTTTTGAGTGTAGAATCTATCAGCCCAAGTCTGCAGAATGTCCTGATGTCTCTCAAGTGAGCCAAGATCTATTATTTTCAAAATAAGATAATGGGAGACTATCCTCCTTTTATAAAAGAAAGTTTGGTGGCAGAGGATGAATTAGATTTTTGATATTTACTTTCTACAATTAATCCTGATTTGTGTCAACAGAAAATATCTGATAGTACTCCTAAAATTGAAAGTTTGTCAGGAGATTTCCTAGAAACATCAAAAGTTCAAGAGTAAGCTTTTTCTCACAAGTATAGAGAAGCTAAATATGAATCGAAAATTATAAAGCAGCTGTATAAATATTCCAAAAACGTGTTTGTTCATGATGAAGGTAATGATTATGCTAACATCTTTAGAAATCGAAATCAGTAAGTATATCTCAGTTATCTAAAAACTCTATTTGATGGAAATTAATAATGCTTAAATCATCTGTAGAACTTTTAAGTTGATTATTATTTTAAACCTAAAATAGTTTTGAGTGAACTATCATCTGATACAAATTATTTCCTGAATTCATATCTAACCTCAAAATAAAGAGGTTGGAATACCATGCCATTGATCCCATTAAGTTCTCTATCTCTTCGTAAATGTATGATTTCGTGTAGAAGCTGATATCGACGAATACGTAAATAAAGCTGGATTTAAGATTTACCCAAAGCAGAGGTTCTTAAGAAGAGCTTATGAATCTATTGGATTGAATCAATCCAAAATTTTACCTGAGCTCGGAAAAGAGAAAGAAGATGATAAAGAAAAATGAAGCGCTCACATTATGATTATTAACGATATGGTCTATGACCATTATTTTAAGGAACTCTTTTGTCTTATGAAGAAACAAATCATGGAGAGCTTAGGAGATAAAGAAGAAAGTTTCGATATTAATGTAAGATAACCGATGATTCCTTATAGATCCTGATCACCACTATAAAGGACTTTGCTGGGAAAGTAGTTGGGCATAATAAGGAGAAGATTAATGACTGTATTTCACAAGAGAAGAAAGACCATTTTATCACAGCTTTCTTGCTCTGGTCCATCAAGAAGCCTAAAGATTTCTATGCCTTGCCTAACTCTTCGCCAAATTTGGGAAATGGATGGTTAGAGGTAGGTCCAAACTATAATTCTATTTCTAGGGAAAAGCACTAAACCTACTGAATATGGATCTGGATGACTCTACCTTAATGAGCATCCATCATATAGATATTGATAAGGGGAAACTGAGCCTAGTCATAGAGAGCTTGGAGACAATGATGAAGGAGTTTAGGAACTAAAAAGCTCAATACCTCTATTTTCAATGAGTTCCAGTAACATTGGGGTTTTGGGGTTTTGGGGTTTTGGGGTTTTGGGGTTTTGGGGTTTTGGGGTTTTGGGG